TGATACTGTAAAAACAAAGAAGACAAACAAAACGTGAATTTTCTTCCAGACGTGAAACATTCTTAAATAAGTCGATGACTGAAAAAACTTGTTTTTCCCACAGTTCCACAGGAATCTCTTCAAAACACGAGGGGACATTTGGGACAGTTTCCTCCTTTGTGTTTTATTTGTAGCTTTCAACAACTTTTACTTTTTGTTTGTGTGACTGCACACGGCGGAGTCACATATGTACCAAATCTACAGCAATACTAAAGAAGTAAAAATGTTCCTGCGTCATTTTTGTCTTATTTAAAAATGATCAAATTAAAACAAGAAGTGATGAGGTTATAAATGACACGTTCTCCTTCTTTCCCACTGAAAATGTTGCACATTTTATACATTTTCCATGAGTTCCCCTGAAGCCTTTTTCACATTCCTGTCACGTTTCATCGAACATCTTTTTAAAAACACGCAGACTCTACTCTGCTTGAGTACTTTTCATTACTTACATTTCTACCTACTGTTTTTTTAAAATAGAAAAAACCAACATAGCAAAGATGGTAGAAATATATACAGCTGATTTGTTTGTCTCTCTTCTCCCCCAGTGCTTGTGGTAAAACAAGGAACAATAGTGGCAGAAGGATGTTTCCTCCAGGTCCATTTAGCAGCCCAGTCGTCATCGCGTCCTTTCAAAATATCCTTTTTGTCTGATCGCTTCTGAGGCTGCTGCGGAAAAAGAAAACACCAGAGCAGGTCTTCATAGAAGCAGTGGAAAGTAACTATGTAAGGATTTTAAAAAGTGTACTTTTCCCCGTTTTAGTTACTCTGGAGTTTCATATTAAACGTCCAACATCTGAATGCTTGTTTCATTTTCTCATTTCTAATTTTCTGACATTATAAAGTCTTCGAACCAGAACAGATCTGTCAGAAACAAATAGTTAAAGGAGCAAACGTTTGTTTCTGGACCAATGAAACAACTCCCTCTTGGTTCACATCTGTATCGCTTTCACTACACTGAAGAAATCTGTGCTGTTTAAGCATGTGAAGCAGAAAATACACACAAACAGTGCAGAGTGTGGATGCTGGTACATTTACATATTAAGACTCTTCGCTGTCCAGCAGGTCACATGACTACACTGTAATAGTCCCAATCAGCCAGCAGCAAACAGCAACGAGGCCAGAGGTCAGAGCAGTCTGAGGTCATAATTATGAAAAGGCAACACGGGGAAGAAGCAATGGGGAGAAATGCTGAGATGAACAGGACTAACGTGCAGGCTGTGCACACTGATGGGGGATCTCATTAATCCAGCAGCAGCACATCCTCTATCGGCTGTGCATGTGGAGATCATCTGCACAGATGTGTTTTGAACTGCAGACAGGAAGAGCTGTGACACATGACTGACATGCATGTTTGCTCTGTGCTAACCCAGAGAGAGAGAGAGGGCACTAAGAAGGAAGTGGTGGAAGAAGCCTAACTGAAACTCTTCAAACGTGACACAAACCAAATGACTTATACAGTTTGAATGAAAGATGGGAGTGCTGTCTTTACATTTAATAGCAAAAATGTTACGTATCTGATATTTGGATATTGGCAAGCAGAGGGCCCGAGCTTTACGAAGAGCACGTTTAGCTGACTTTGTAGAGAAAACTGGAATCTGCGGTCAAATTCTGAAAAAAGGCAAATAAATAAATAAATAAAAGCTCAGACCTCATTATTTGATTTTGAACAAGGTCTCCTCTCTTTTCCTGCCTGAGCAAACTCATCATTACAGTAATGAGGACTGTTGTTTGTCTTTTTGTTTTTTACGTTTTCCCCACAAAGATGCTGAAACAAGACGTTTCCAACCTGCAGGCTCTGCGAGGAGCAGCACTGGGCCTAAAACGGGCACAAAGAAGGCGGCGAGCGGTCCGACGTTTCTTCTCGAACGTGTTGGGCATAAATGCCCTCGCAGCCTCTCAGAACAGCGATTGTGTATTTAGTTTTTTTAAGTGATGAATGAAAACTTCATGTTGGGGATTTTGCAGCAAACTGAAGCCTCCGTGCAGCATCAGAGGTTTGTGTGTGTACACTAATAACCATGTTCTTACTTCTTGCCTTGACAGCATCATACTTAAAAAACAGTCATTAAAGGGCTGCTCTGGTTGCTCCTCAGGCTTCATGAAAACACCGAGACAACAACGTGTTCCTGCATCTCTAACAAACACTTGACCTGCAGCTTTTAGGCCCGTGCACATTTGTTAGGCTGGGATTGTTTAGCTGACTGATGCACAGAGTGGGCTTTTATAGACACACACTGATGGTTTGGATTTTTAACAGCGAGCAGATTACAATAATTCCTACTTTCACCTCACACTTAAAGGTTGCAATTGATGTAATTAGAGATCTAAACTTCCAGTTCAAAGTGGAACGAGGTTCCTGCGACGGTTCAGCTCTGACTGGAACTCATCTTTTGCCGGCTGCTGACGATCAGGGATACACAGCAGCTAACTGAACTTCCACTGGGACGTGGCTGTTTCTGAAATGTGTCTTCACAAAGTTAGTTCCAAAAATCAAACATCATCATTTGTCCATGCGGGTGATTTTAAAGAACAACTGTATCACCTGCAATGCAGTGATCTCACATTACAAGTGTGGCAGGAAATAAATGAGAGATTTACTCGTTCACATTTCCTCAGCCTGTTCCCCTCCTCCTGCAGTTCCTCTATTGCATCTGACCTCCGCCCATCAACCCTTCTGCCTCCAACACACACACACACACACACACACACACACACAGAAGAGTAACTGCAGACAGGATCTTGTGATACAGTTTTTAGAAAGTTTCAGAGAACAAAGGAAGGCATTCGTTGATTTGTAGGAGGAATCTGGTGGTCAGCAGTGAAGTTCATCAACTTAATTACTCTGCATTTAGATGCTTCAGCTCCAGGTGAGCACAAGAGGACACTATTACAGTTTTCATGGAAAACTGAATACAGGGGACATTCGCTCTGAGACGGCTGAGAGTTATCTAGACAGTGTAACAGCCCCACACACACTACAAAAGTATAGTTTAACATTTTAACTCTGACACAATAAAAAGTTGGATTTTAGAGGTTTGACTTAACCTCGTCAGCCAAACAAACAATTCTGTTTAAAAAATAATGTCCATAAAGCATGAAGGTGTGTGTTTTAACGCTACACAACAACACAAGATTATGTTTGAATCTTAAACAGGCACGCATGGAAGGCCAGGTTTTAGTTCCTGGTCTTAATCACAGCTGAGGCTTTAATGGACATGTGGGGGTTGGGTGGAGGTGTCCTTTGTGCCTTATCCATCTCAGGACAAAACCCCACCAAGGCTATTGTGACGTTTCCTGCTGAGTTAAGGTGAACTAAGGCAGTATGGCACACTGAGCACTTTAAGATTTGTTTTTAAATGCAGCAAAACTCCAATAAATGGTTGTTGTGACCGATGTCTGTCTGTGATTGAGACAAACAGTTGTGGACTTAATCTGACTTTGAATTAAAACTGGTGACAAATGTGTTGATTCCATGATACAGATGTTTTTAACCATCGCTGTACTAAACTAAATGTCAAACGACACTCAGGAAAAAGTGGACACTGATTAAATATATTGTTACAAAATACAGCCAGTTTAAAAAAAAGGGGAAACGTGTGATGTGCTTTTCAGATTTAACGTCTTCCCCTGTAAAAAAACAAACAAAAACAAAAAACCACTCCTGATGATTCAACAGTTACTGGCGAGAGCTCCATTTCTCTTTGAGGGTTTGGATCCATTTTGTGAGTGGAAGCCATTTTCTAACCAAAGCAAGCTTCACCAGAGTGCCACGTATCCCCCCGGGCGTGTGCAGTATGGCTAAAAAGTTCAAACCTCGTGCACAGAGAAAAGGGGGCCCTTTAAAAGCCAAGTCCAAGCCCGTCAAAATTAGAAAACCGTGAGACGAGACTGGCACAACCTGGAGAGAAGGGAGCCGATATCCACAGCCAAACTCCAGCGCGATGAGTGAGTGGGGGAGAGGCAGGCCTGCATCACGCACTGCCTCCATTTTGAGGAGACATCCACCCAGAGGGGCGCGCGGTGTGCGTGTGAAGCGTAGCGAGCGACTTCGCCATGGTATTACTTCCTGTGCGCCTCACACCGAGAAATGTGCAGAAATTGCTGAAGAAGAAGCTAGCGCGCCATGTTCCCGCTGTACTTTAACTCTGGGCATCGCCTGTTGGGTCCATGACCTCACAGGGAAACTACAACACACAAGTGTTTAAAGCGAGACGAACTACGAGAGTGTAGCCTGGCTGCAAAGCATCGACGCCATGGCTGACACATTGTTCCAGTTGGTGGGGAAAAGGACGTAGGCGACGACGTATGAGAACGAGGACATGGGCTTCCTACCACCTTACTACAGCACACTTGTGGCCCCTAAAACAAAATGGAGGCCCCGTCCCGCTGTTTGACAGCCACCATGGGTTCACCATAGGTCATTTATGTAACGTCACGAGGACAACTTCTTTAACTTTAGCACAAATCATACCCATCCAGAGGGCGGGAACAGCAACAACAGGGGTGGGGGTGCTACGCAGTAGAATGAGCGGGCGGTGCCTTGCTATTTAAATGTGAAACGGCTACGGCCACCGAGGCCTTCCACTAGACTGAAGGGTGGAGGAAATACCCCCAACAAAATAAATACCAACAAAGTAGACGCTCACACGCTGTCCACTATCAGCTTTTAGCTGCAATTCTCCGTATTCGCCCGCATTAAGCGCGGGTGTCTACATCTACATCGTGATGCATGCCCCCCACCGCTCAGGAAAACACGCCAACTGTACTGTTGTCCACTACTGTACAGCACGGAATTGGGAGTCTCGGCTTCTGTTACCATGCGCGCGCACATACGCACACGCGCTCATCTGGTGAAAACCCTGGGATGAGAGGGGGATGCCCCCTCCCTTCCGCCTTGCTTACCTACTCCAACTACACCACGTGGTTTCCTCTCTCACACACAAAAAAAAAAACGAAAAAAAAACCGTGAATTGGAGTCGACGAGGGGCGGCGTCACCCCTCTGCCGGCAGCAGGCGGATCGCCGAAAGAGGGAAGGATAGAAAACTAGAGAGAGAGGCGGAGAGAGAGAGGAAAACATTTCTCCCGATCTGATCCCGCCATAGTTTTTCCCACTCTTCTGCCATAGACCCATCATCAGACCCAGTCCAACCCACCTCCTCCACAGCGCGATAGAGGCTATAGGCTGCTGCTTTATTCGTCTGTTGGGGCCGGCTGCAAGTCAGGGGGTTTCATTTCTTCTCCTGCTCCACTTATTCAACTGGATTTACAGCAATATTCAACGTTACCACCTGATTGTACTTTTTTACATTTTTTTATTTGAATTTGTCATCGTGAATTCAAATTTATTTCGTACTTTTGTCCTCTAGCGTGATTTACACTTTCTGTTTGAGTGGCAAGTGTGACAATATCTTGTTGCGCTATTAGCACATTCAGCAGAAACTTTTTGCTGGCTCCAATCTTTAGTTATTCTGGGCTTTGTTTTTTGTTTTCTTTTTCTGGGCTCGGGAAAACAATTTCCACAATGCACAAGCTATACATTGGGAATCTAGGCGAAAGCGTGACTGCCGAGGACTTAGGAAAAACCTTTGACGAACACAAGATCCCATACACCGGACAGTTTCTAATGAAAACCGGCTATGCGTTTGTGGATTGTCCGGACGATCACTGGGCCATGAAGGCTATCGAGACATTTTCTGGTGAGTTAAGGTGGACTACAAGTCACCAAAAAAAGCCTTCTCTTATTTCCACCTTTAATTTCATTCATTCTATATATAGGGAAGCCGTAGACGCCGGCGCACAGCCCCGGTTGCATGCTCACCTTCAGCGGTGTATCCCAGTTTTATTGTCCGTTCGCCTCCCGAGGCTCCACGCGAGATTAAATAAATAAATAAATTCCTGAAATTATTTTATTGGTGTTAGAATAAGGAATATTAGTGTGTGGAAAGCTACACACCCACGGGAGCCATTCAACTTTTGCAGGAGGGGGGGGACGCACGTAGTGTAAAGCTATACTGTAAAACACAGCCACTGGTGAAGCTTTCCTTGATATCGTTGTAATTTATCAAAGGAGAATCTAACAGTACTGTGCTAATTATGGCACGTGCATTTCAAGCTAATGAGTGCTTCTGGTAGGCGTTTTAATATCTTGCACCCCTGAGCACTGGATAGAGTAGCCTACTCTTGTGATATAGGATGAAGCCTTGCTGCTTCCCCTCCCCCTTAAGCCGGGAGTCCACTATGACAAAGGCAGAAACAAATAAATTAGCCCTTACCAAACCTGGCCTCAGACCAACCCAGAATTTACACAAACCTACCCCGGTATGGTACAGCTCGCTTTCCTGCGTGGCGACAGCTCTGTGGCCCATTTCTCATGGTTCCCTACACATGTAACGTGAGGAGGCAAGGTCGCCATGCCAGTCAGCTCCCTCTGATCCTTCCTGAACCCTCACCAAACTCTCCAAACAACCCTCTCACACTACAACCATGTGGGCTTGAAACCTTTTAACTGCCACTCAGAGGTAAACTGATAAACGTATAGTTATCGCTTGGCATTTCTGAGGGATTCAAGCAGACGGAAAGTGACGTGATGTACACTATTCACTTGCTCCCTGACTTTAGGACATGTTTTGAGCACTTTCAATATAACTGCATCTTAGTACTTTTCATGAGTGCTTGAAAGATCACCAGGTTTAATTGGAAATAAGTGAACCGCAAGGCAACCCACACTGAATGCAGTAGATCCCCTTCGTAGGCCTTTGCAGCTAGTACACAGTTAGCATTTAGCCACACTTTGTTCTGAACCAGTTTTCGTTTTTTCAGGTAAAGTGGAACTTCATGGGAAACGTATTGAGGTCGAACACTCCGTCCCCAAGAAGCAAAGGTACATTGAGCACTTGTATCACCCCTCCCCCTCCTTTCTCAAAAAGAAAAGGGGAAAAAACCTTTCATGTGTTGCATCACCTTATGTGGGTCTTTCTCTCATGGGGTAATAAGTGAAAACAACGACTTCACTGAATGATTTGCTATTATTGGGACACAGATTTCGGCCCTTGCGCCCACTTGACGTTAAAAAGCCATTGTGAGGCTAGCAGTGGCTAGCTTGGCTGTGTTTGTTGGTGTGGCAGTGTAGCGTGGACCCTCAACTTTGTCGGCCATTGCTGTGGAGCTGAACTGTGACAGCTTTAGCTAGGTGCCTGCCGTTCTGTGCAGTGTGGTTGGATTTTTACTCGTCCTTTTAAAATGCTGCTGTGTTTTTAGAGTGAGCTCAACAAGCACGTAGATATAGGTTCTTCGTAAAGTCGCAGTGTTGATGTGAGCACGTCCTGTGGTTTACTATATGCTCTAGGCCCAGCCTTTTATGTAGTTACTCCTTACACTACAGTCACTACACAATTTCTTTAACACGATTTTAAAAAATACACTGACACATATGTATTTTAGAGATGTATTCGTGGTGTAGTTTCACGTGTTGGACAACCTTTCAGTGCTTTAATGTGTGCATGGATAATATTCGCTTGTACACGTTATTCCCAAGCTTTTTGCTTTTATTAAAACTCTTCGGTTTAACGTGCACACTCTGAAAACAAATCAGTTTTTAACGATGCTGTGAGTTGTGACGGAAATGCGGTGTGTTGATTATTTTATTTCGTTTATAGGTTTCTTTTAGAATGTATTTGACGAGGAAATTGTGATTTAATGGAGCTGTTATTTTTTTTAATAGTTAAATTAATAACACGTCTTTCCAATTAAAAACACAGCTGTGCTGTTTATTAATTGTAGTATTTCTTTTAAATATATAATGCTCGTTTTAACCCAGAATAGGTGCTGGGTGTGAATATTTCACATTTAAATGCCTTTTGCTTCACGCCAACTCGGACACATTTATGTGGCAGCCTGATAGTGTACCTGTAGCTTTGGCTTCTTTGTAATTGGGTGTCAATGAAATTTCTGCGGTTCAGTAGTAGCTCTAACTGGTGTCCATTGTGCTCATTTGACCTGCTTCATTCAAACAGCACTATGCAATTCTCTTATAGCCCATCATTTATGCCCGTAACCTTTGGCACAGATACGAGTTGAGCACAGTTCTCCATGTTCCGCCATTTGGCCACATGTGTGCGTATGTATGTATGTGTGTGTGCGTATTCACTATGAGCCAAAATGGCCAGGAAATGTAGAAGATTCCACCCCATTTCCACACTTGTTGCCTTTTAATAAATGCTACGATTTGGCGTAATCACTCTTCGCGGGATTTTGTATGAAAAAGGCCGAATATTTCAAACTGAGCTGGCTTTTGGGGCGCCCGCCCTGCGCCACGAAAGCAGAATAAAAACGTTGCAACATGGCTGTGGCACACACATCCCAGCAGCGTGGTCTTTGTGTGGATGAGTGGGGCCGAGTGTGGTCACTTATTGCCAAACTCGCCTTACACGCGGAGCTAACATGGCTGTGGGCTGTAATGCCTTCAGGTGTCTTCGCGGGTGCGTGAAGAGCCCCAGACCTTGACTGTGATCACCTTAAAGAGCCATAATAAAGGTGATTTGTGAGTGGGTGGGTGCGGGGGTACCGTGGGACGAGCTTGTGGCCCTTCGTGGCTTCACAACACGTGGTGCGTCCACGCAAAGAGGAGTTGCACCACGTCAGGCATGGAGGGCAAAATGGCGAAGCCTTGAATGAAGCAGCCACTGTACAGATTGCTCCTTATTCTTTTTTTTCCACAGTGTGTCACTTTGGGTCTCGTCAGCGCCCGGGTCGCCCCGTGGCCTACATCACGTGTTCCAGTGTGTGTGTGTGTGCTTTTCTTTTAAATGTAAATAAATTTTAAAAAATGAGAAAAATATTAACATGACGGAAAACTGTATTTATGGAAGCCCTACCTTAAAATGGCTGTTCGTGCAGTCCGTCAGCCAGAGCTCAATTATCCAAATTATGTCGCAAAATGATCGCGTTTAAATATTTATGAAAAACATCTGCTCATCTCCAGCATCCGAGCGTGTGCGAACTGTTTGAGCGGACGCTAATTTACGAAATTATTTTGTAAATGTTTAAAATCCTCCCGTTGTCAAACAAAGACTGTGGGCAACGAATCAGGCGTTTTCTGGCTTCGTGCGCGTTTGGGCAAAAACACTCAAAATAATAGATTCCAGCATATATTTTATTTTCGTCTACTTTCACTCAATAAGCTGCTTGTTTTGATACCGTTTTGAATGTTTCTCATTTATTGTGACTCTAACGTGGACGTAAAAGTTTTCGGGGGTGTTCGCGTTTCTACACGTGTTTAAAAGAAAGTTGCCAGAGTACAGACGTTTAAACGTCTTAAAACTGCTCTCCTGCAGTTGCTTCTGAACCTCAAGGAGGGTGTGTGTGTTTGTGTGGGAGTGGCGGCTGTTCTGAAGGAACAAGCCCTTTGGGCTATTTGAAGGAGGTGGGGTGGGGGTGTCAGTCCCTTAACTAAAAGAATGAAGGTTCAATTCCTTCTTCTTTATATTCCACAAGTCTCAGTGCAGGGGGCGCTGGCCCTGCCTGTCCTGACCTCTGACCGTGTTTTGAACGGTACCTTTTGCGTTTGTATGTATGGACGTTAAAGATGGACGAGTTGGAAGTTTCAGAGAGCTGTTTGGTTACTGTGTAAGGCTGCAGAGGGTTTGGCAAGGTGGAAAGCTGGGGTTGTATAGCTACAGGAAGAGGAGAGGGGAGAGAAGGGAGGGGAGTTTTTGTGTGTGTGGGTTCTCAGAGAGAACAAGCCTCCCTCTTTGGAGAGGGGATATGTATAGAACGCTCGCTGTTGGCGTGAAGCAAATCAGTGGTGACGCCCACCAAAAATCCCGTTAAACCCAGTTGAAATATAAATGGCATGGGTGTGTGTGTGTGTGTGTGTGTGTGTGTGTTTTCATCTGTTACCCATGCTCTGCAAAATTCTGTTGCAGCAACCTGGCACTTAAAAAAATAGAGTTGTGTTGGATGTCACAGGTAAAACGAGAGCTGCTACAGATTATAGGCTAGCTTATTTATTGTGTTTCTTTTGTGTTTTTTAAAGGCTTTGAAGTCTTGTAATAATTGTTACACTGATTCAAACAAAATATTAAAATTAGCCTTTGATTTTAGGTGCATTCCTGCAAAGTTCACATTTTTTATTACACCCCCTCTAAACATTCGCACGGGCAACTTGCAGAATATCAGTATCAACTGGTATTAGCTCTGTTGACTGACATCAGGAAATATAATGGTATTTACAGATGCCATTGGCCAATACTTAGTTGTTGGGTCAGTTTTATGCAAACATTTGTACTTTAAAACAGATCGATTATATATTTATTTTCCACTGAAGACTTTTTCTTCCTTGCACTAAAACTATAAACAACAAACAAAGTAAAAAGCAAAAAAGTTGGAATTTTGAATAAACATAATTCACCCATAATTAGTGTGTGGCTAAAAACCATTATAATAATTATTATTATTCCCGCTTTGTAGTATTTTTGTATGTCCTTGGTTCTGGAGGCAGGGTTTAGTGTCTGATTCTGGTATGCTGTGACCTTTGGCACCAAAATGTTATCTTTAGCGTTCAGTGTGCTAGGATTTGCACCCTGCCTTCACCGCGACACGAGGCTATCATGCACAGCACACGAAAATTTTGTAATTTCATAATTGTGGGAATTAATTCCAGTCTCCTTTGAGTCTCGACTCATTTTTCCATTTGCCATTTGTATCCAAAAAGGAAATGATGATGTCGGCTCATTTGAAAACAGGAGAAATTGCATTGGAGGTTACAACCTGTTCTACTTTCTTCATGCATTAGTCTTCATGTGTTACAGCTTCCTGTTTGCATTTCCTTCAAAAGGAAAAAAAATGCATGGAATCCTGAAAATACTGCTGCACATGAAGCATGCCAACATATCTGCTGTCATTGTTTCACTGTTTAGGAACCTTTTTTTAAAATAATAATAATAATTATTAATTTTCACTGAAAACCTCCAAAAGAGAAAAAGATTCCTGCGACCCATAGACTGACTGATAGATCACGTCCAAATCACATCACAGTGTTAGCAGTTAAAAGTCCAACCCATGGCTGGGAACATCCTCTGAAATACTGATATCTTCCATTTTTCTTATGAAAGTGGCTTCAAAAAGCTAAATGTCATTTCCTCCCTTTCTGTAATGGTGTTACACATTTTGTATTGGCTTTTTTTTTTTAGCAGCTGAGTGAAGTTACTGTACATCTTGTGCCCCCCACTTTTTTCCCTTTAATGGATGCAACAGCTAT